CAATATGGTTACCATGTAGTGAAAAAAAATTTTTTGAGTATTATTTGAGTAGTGTAAAGAAAAAAAAAATATGTCAAAGGGAAAAATACATCAAGTTATACTTTATCTAAAATATATTAGGATTGCTTCTAAAATATTTAAAACACTTGAAAACAAAATTATTAATTTTAGTTATCAAAAGACCTGAAATATAGTAAACTAGATATCAAAAAAATTACTATTTAAAAAAGTGTTAAAAAACTTTAGGACTTTCAGGAATTCAAACTATTGATTTTAATGAATTATAAAAAATTAAAGATATTTTATTCATGTGTAAAATTATCCCAACTTTTAAATATTAATTTTTTATATCAATTTAAAAATTTTGAAACTGTAAAATTCACTAGAAAATACTATATAGAAAAGTTTTCAATCTGATTTTTTAATTAGTTTCTGTCTTATATTTTTAGGAAAAGGTTAAAAAGTCAGAAAAACTAAAATTCCACAGTATAAAATCAAGGAACATAAAATTAAAAAGTCTGTTCACCTTTCCTGCTGTTAGTCAAGTTAAAATTATCCATTAATTAATATTAGAATGAGAGTTGAGTTAGAGATAAGGTTTAAATTAATATTATGTGTAAAATTATTTTTCTAATATTTTTTATTAATGCAATCAGATATGTTTAGACATTTGTTTCTTGTATTTTTTATATTTTTTAGTTTTTTCTTTGTCAAGTTGATCTGTATAAACAAAAATTCATGATTTTAATTAATTATAGTCAATGAAAAATCTTGTGATTTACACTAGATAACCTTTTTTAAATGGTTATAAACAATTTTTAAAAGTCAAATCAACCTATCTTAATGATGTAATTATGTATCAGAGAAGTTAAAAATCTTTTCAAAAATCAAAAGCAGATAAGTTTTTTTGTATGTGAAGAATTTAATAAATATTAGTATATAAAAAAATAATACAATAAGATTATATTATTGTCTATGACTATCATTTGACATGAATAATAATACATAAATGGAATTGGAATATTCTTTTATTGATTTTTGCCTTGGAAAATTTATTATATTAGAATTTTTTGCCTAATTAGTTCACTTTAATAATAATGAATTGATTGTGACCAGTATTTTTGAGATGTTGATATGACTGTTGTATTTTAGTATTAATATAATTCATGAAATAATTAATATATTAATTTATAAATGATTAATATATTAATTCATGAATGATTAATTCAATAAGGACATGTAGATATTGTACAATGTAAAATTATAGAGATTTTTTTAGATAATTTTTTATATAAACATCTATAAAATAAACTAAAATCCTTCTTTCATTTTTTTATCCTTTTTTTTTAAATCATGTAAAAAGTAAAACATATATGAAGGCATGCAATTTATGTAGAAAGAAAAAGAAGAGATGTTTATCACTTAAAGATAATACATGTTCATTATATAATGGTAAAAAATGAGAATATATTATTCAGAAGAAAAGAGGAAGACCTAGTAAGTTGAAATTATATTTATTATTTATAGCATTTAATTGGTTTAATCCATTCATTATTTCTTTAAGATAATCAAAAAATAAAAATAAAAATAGGACGAGACAGCAATAATTTATCTAACAATGAGTCTTCTAACAATAGGTCCAATGAACTTTCTAACAATAGTGGATCTCCTAACTATGAAAATGTCAATTTCCAGTGGAAATAAAACCTATGTTTATTTCTCTCAAATTGAAATGAATGATTCTGAAAATAGCAATTTCCATCAACTCGATGGGACTGAACCTTCTAATCATGAAAATGGCAATTTCCATCAACTTGGTGGAAATAAAACTTTTACTTATTTTTCACAAATTGACACAAGTAATTCTGGAAATGGCAATTTCTGTCCACCCAATGATACTACCTGTTGGGAGAGCAGGGACAAGTATAACAAAGTGCTTGGGTTTAGCCCAGTAGTTATCAGGGGTTTTGGAAGTATGGAATGTATAAAATACTAAATAAAGAATCCTGGGTCTAAAGCAAAAGAGGCAAGTATAAAGAAAGGATAAGAGATAGGGCAATAAGAAAAGAAATATAGGGATAGATTCTAAGTCGGGAGGATGGGTGAATCAGAATAAGATAGTTTCGCTAGGGATTTAGATAGGGAATTGATATAAATTTAAAGAAAGAAAGTGTGGTTCCGTCTAAGTCACGTGATCAAATTAGCGAAGAAACAAAGATCAATAATTTATTTTAAGGTTTAAAACTTAAGATCATGCAATTTAGATGTTTATTATTAATTCAATAAACAAACAAAGAAAATAAGAAAGAAAATGTATTTATTATAAAAGAAAAAAAGTTTTTATTAAAGAAAATAAAGAAATTACAAGAAAGAAAATGAAGAAAATAATAAAATCTATCCTAAATTATTAATGATTTCTCTCAAGACTGTCTAATCATTGATTATTTATTAAGTGATTTTATTCTGATTAATTACATGAGGAAGAAAATTAAAGCTCTTTATATACATATTTGAAGACTATTCTATAAATATAAATTGATTATTACATGATAAGAAAGAAATAGAAAGAAAAAGAATAAAATACTAAAATAAGGTCAAATCCTGGTCAGGCTAAGCTTCATGGCCACTGTGGTGGTGGTGGCAGTTCGCAATCTTTACTGCTTCTTCTATATAGTGGTATACTCGCTGAGAAGAGTGGTCATATCTTTACAAATCGGCAGTATGCAGCATAGAAGTCACGTGTAACGTGATTGACGCGCCGAATATCAGTATAAATATAAAGAAAATTTTTAGGGACGGGGAATTCGAAGGAGGGGGGAGAAAATGGAGGAGGTAATACAAGGTAAGTGAATAAGGGAAGGTAAGTGATAGCAAGTAAAGTAAGTGATAATAAATATTAATAATTAAATAAAAGAGAAGAAAGGAGGGGCGATGACAGATAAGAGAAGGATTATATAAACGAATTTAAAGGATAACGGGGCGTGCCGGATAGTAACGAGAGTATAAAAACGAGGTGAAGAAAAAGAGGATAAAGAAAATAGTAACACCGAAACCTTCTAACCACGAAAATGACAATTTCCATCAAATCGGAATGAATGATTCTGGAAACGGCAATTTCCTTCAACTCGGCGGGACCGAACCTTCTAACCACAGAAATGTCGATTTCCATCAAACTCAAATTGTACACCCTACGTATATAAATGTTTATTACATAATAATATACAATAATTCATAAGCAATAATAACTTTAAACAAAGTTATTATATCAAAAATTTAACAAAAAAATAAGATAAATTATAACTATTTTTTAAAGTAATTTAATAATAATTTTTCTATATCAGCATAATATATATTACCATCTCATTTATTTTTATAAATATAAGAGAAATAATTAATGATACATAGTAAAATTGTTTATTTACTAATAATATGAATTTTAGATAATTGTTTTTTAAAAAACCAGTAAGTTGAATTTTATGAATTTAGATTTATTGTGATAATAATTATTTTTAAAAAATCAGTAAGTTGAATTTATAGCATTTAATTGACTTAATCTATTGATTGTTTATTTTGATCAAAGTAAAAATAAAATGAATTATCTAACAATACAATAATGACGATGAACTTTCTAATAACAGCGGGTCTTTTGATCCATATATCACAAATGTAAACCTAAAATAAAAAAGTGTGATGCGTAATTTTCATTAAAGCTTCCAGATACATTTTCTTTTTTTTGGTACTGGGTTGATTTTTTTTGTTACGCGTGCACGATATTGTAAAATTTTTCTCGTAGAAAATTCCAGGTTTCTAAACATGAATCGATTAAGAATACAAAATTTTTTTGTTTATAAACAAATGATTCTTTAATTTTATACAATGATAAAACGTAAAATCCCATCCAAGTCATTAATGCTCTTCTACATATGAATGATGAACTTTTTAATTATTCATTTTTTTACAAATATGTTCAGCACATGCGTATACTGTATGTATGCAAGGCAGAGTCAGAAAATTTAAATATAAAATCTTCATCAAAAGTCTCTTATGCCTATTCAAAATTATAAAAGACTTTTAACTCGCGGTATTATTGTTCAGAAACATTACAGACTTTTTATTATTAGTTGGTGGGTTTATAGAAACAAAAGCAGTTTAAAATAAATAATGTATTCCAATTCGCATTAATATCAACTAAGAAGAATTTATTATTCGAGTAGTTGGAAGTCTAGTTACAAATATTACAAATATGGAAGCTATAATTTACAGCTGTTTTAATATTTTATTTAATAAATTATTATTTGTCACTATACTATATGTGAAGTCATGTGAAATAAAAAAGTTTATAAAAGTGTTTAATTTTTTAAAATATTTGTTTATAAAGAATTTATACTCTAACTTGTGATCTGAGATAATATGAAACTTTTTATTTAAAAATGTTGTAGTGATATAAAGGTAAAAAAAATTTAGATATTGGATTTATATCTACTGTGCTCAATGGCAAGGGAATTTCGCTAATTATTTCATGTTTAAACTTCATATTTCAAAAAATTTTATATCGTACTATTCTTCATTAAAGGTAGGTTAGATTTTTACATTCATGGTCAAGATCCTTTCCATTTTCGCAATATTTATTAGATCTTTATTTATTGGTCACTAAAAAAGTATTATCATATCTGTAACAGAATTTGCTATGAAAAGTATATTTTATGAAAGATTCTTTTAACTTCAAAAGTTTATTGCTCGGCAATCATGATTATTCCATTTAAGCTTGTATTAAAATTTTTGGTTATAGACTTAACACATTGTATTAGAATAAGAAACACAAGCTCAAAAAGTAAAATAAAATTATTCCAAAGACTAAATTGCAACATTTACAGTCTTAACTTCAAATTTCTTTACAAAAACAATATTAACATAAATTGAAGCCCATATTTAATTCGTAATATAAAATATTATTTGGAATAAAATATTATCAAATTTCTTATTTAAGATAAATAAATAAATTATTTTTTCTTTTTCGAATGTCCAACTATAGCTTCAATATTTTCATTTTGTCCCCAATAATTCCTAAACAATTTATGCTCCCATCTTAAGAATTCATTTTGTACATCATAATTATTTGCTCGCGCTATTATAGATTTGATACCTCGAACCTATGAACATAATAATAATTATCAATTATTATAAATTAATAAATCCTTTAAATTTTCAGTGAAAAAAAAAAATTTTTACCGCTCTAACTGGATTTCTTTTCCTATCAGTAATAGAATCTCCTTCCTTATGTGAAGAAAAGTATATGTAGGGATCTAAATATTCTATTGATTTATTAATTGCTGATTTCCCTTTAGCCAATACATCAGCAAAACGTAAATCTATTGCTTGTTGGCCTGTCAATAAAACACTAGCTCCCATAATTCTCAATGCTTGTGTCGTTCCCACAATATTTATTAATCTGCTTCCACCTCCCCATCCTGGTGTAGTTCCCATCTTTATTTGTACAAACCTTATTTTCGCAGTTTCTAATATATTATTGTAATATATATTAAATTTAATTCAATCTTCTGTGCAAAAGATCATTGCATTATAGAAATTAAATTAACCTGAGATACATCGATGATCACATGCAGTTGTAATTTCAGCACCACCTCCTAAAGCATAACCTTCAATGCTAGCAATTGATATCAAAGGTAATTGACTAAAACGAAATAATGTATCTTGCATGAGGGCACTCATCTTAGAACCATTCTCAGAAGTCAAGATGTGATCTTTTGCTACATTCGTATCTTTTTTGAAAATAGATCCATGAATATTTGAATTTAGAACTCAACATTTAATTATAAGTAACCTTACCCAATCCGGAACAAAAGGTATTTCCATCCCCTGTCAAAATCAATGCCGTTAATTCATCTTCTTCTCGAGAATTCGTTTCACCTTTTACAATACATTCTAACTTATCAACCAGGTCAGCTAGTTGTGCCATCATTTTACCACTAAAAGCATTATGCTTCTCAATATTTTTCATTGTAATTAATCCAATGCCTGGTGAAAATGATGGATTGAATTCAATTGAGCCATTTCTTTTTTTATTTATTTATTTATTTTATAATAGTTACAATGATGATGACAAGAAAGATATACATGTTTATGAAAAAAAAAATAATTGAATAAATTAAACGAAAAGATTGAAATTATCAAAATATGTGTTATATCAAAAGTCGTTACCCAAATTTTCTAAATTCTTCTCGTACCTCACTAAGGTTTCCGTGTATCAAACTATATTGGCGAAAATGTAAACTTGAAAATGTCGACAGGCACGAAACAAGCTGTGAAGGTTTTCGATGAATATAAAACAATTTGTGCATATTGTTGTGTTGTATTTTTATGGAAAAGTGAAAATAGTAGAGTAATAAAAAAATTGAAATAACGGTTATCAATATTTATAACGATTATGATTTGGCGATCTTTTATATTTTTATGTTTTACACACAAGATGGATTTTCCAAAACAAAAACAAAAAAAAAAAAACAAAAAACATTGAAAATAAACTTATGTAATTTTTAAATTTTATCTTCACAAATCAAGAAATCTACGGAATGCAAAGAATCTCCTAAAAATCAAATAAATTTTGACACCAGCAAAGTTTTTTTTTTCAACAATATAAAAATAAATCAGGCTGAGTCATGTTTATAGAAAAATATAACTATTGTCAAAGATTAAAATCTGAGGTTATTGGCATTCACTCGATTTATTATGCACATAAATTAATAATGAAATATATTTTTTTTTTCTTTGATTAATTTAATAAATACCAAAATTCTCTTTTACCAGAATCCAATTTTTCAATTATAAATTAAATTACCCGTCTATTGCAAAAAAAAAAAAACAGTTGACCTATAAAAAATGATTCATTTATAATTATAATTATATATATATATATTTATTTTTATATACTATATATAATTTTTTCTAGAAGTATTTATGTAGGTACAATATAAATTAAAAGTAATCACGTGTTATATTTAATACATCAAAATTTTCCGTCCGCGGGCATCTTTAAAGCTTCTACGATTTCGGCCATCGGATCTGATATTGGTTGTAGTGTTGTTGGTATTTTTTGAGATTCGGTTGATGATATTGTTGGTTTTCTCTGTTAAAAGAAAGAAAGAAATAAATTTATTTAAAATTTATTTTCATTCGACAATTATAATGAAGTAATATAATATTTTATTAATAATAATACCTTGATTTGAAGTGTTTGTGAATTAGAAGAAATGCTTGAGGAATCCTGTCCCTCGCTTTCAATTATTGAAGACACTTGTTTAACTAAATTAGATTCAATAGTTAAAGTTCCAGCAACTTCTGTCATTGCTGACTTGATTTTCTCTGGCTAATAATTTTATGATTTATTAAATATTATTAATTAAGACGTCAATGGTGTGACGTTAAATAAATAAATTACTTACGTCAACTTTCCCACTTCGTAATTCAGTAATTCCAATATGACCAGTATGCTATTATTATGTATATATGCGAATTAATTATAATTTTTTAATTTTTGATATTTATTTGCATATATATTATATATATATTGAAAAATTAGATAAATTAGATAAATTATATACCTGAAAGTTTGAAGGTAATCCAATCAAACCTTTATGTATTTTTTTTGGCCTTTTTAAAACTTTCGCTTTTCTAGCATTATTATAGTTGGCGCTTGGACCAGTAACTTGATTTCCATAATGGAATCGGTTAACTTTTTTGTTGCTATTGCTAATATTGCTCACAGATCGTACAGAATCGTTTTTTTGTTGGTCTGGTAAAGAAATGCAACTACCCATGATTTTTATGATTGATTGTTATGATTGATTGATTTTTATATAGTATAGAAATGCCCGAATTATTATTTTGATAAAATTCTTTTGATGAAAATATTAAAATATTAGAAGTATTAGTGTGTTTTATTATTGCAACACTTTTATTCTGATTTCAGTGAACAAAGATAAATGAGAGGTAGAAGATTTTAAAGTAAAGGAAAAAGAGTATTTATTTCAGAATAGAGAAATTATATTATCTAAATGTCTATTCTTCAAGAAGAGTAAATATTTTTATTAAGAAAAGGATTTTAGTATTTAAAAAAAAAATATCAAAGTCTTTTTATTATTATTATTATTATTATTATTATTTATCGATCGTTGATTAATAAGATTAGAATAATTATTATTACTACTATTATTATTCGTTGGAAAAGACGTATTAAAATAAAAAATATAAAGTTTCGAATATATATAATATTTTTGTTTACCAACAAATAAGTAACAAAGAACCAAACTATAGGAAGAAAAAGAAATACTAAAAATAAAACTATAGATAAATATAATCTAAATAAATAAATAAATAAAAATATTACGAAATAACGAACAGGCGTTAGTGACTATTCAGGGGAACAATAAAATAAATTAAATTAAAAAGAAATTTTTTATTAAACGTAAAGAAAAAATGTTCAGTCGTTAATAAGAAGATGAAAAACATAAAAATAATTTAAGCGAGACTTTAAATGTTGTTTGAAGAACAAAGTGAGGTGATTATTTTATTCTTCGGAGGGGCTTAGTTTTCATTCAGTTTTTGGTAACTATTCCGTAGTACATTTATTAGAGACTAGTATAATTTTATTATTAGAGTATAATTATTTAGAGTACAGTTATTTTTGTGATTTTTAAATAAAAAAAAAAAAAGTTATTTATGTTAAAATTCAATTTAAACTTAATTTGGATAGAGGATCAAGGAGACTCTATTATATACAGCGCGTTTTAGATCGGCATACACAGACGTGTAAGCCTAAATAGATTCACGACATTATGCATCATATCATTAAATTTTTTTTTTTTTTATATAATAAAATAACTAACTGGTGGAGAATAATAGTGAATAATAGGTGTTAATTATGTTGATTTATGCGTGCGTAAATATGTAGTGTTAAAAAAATAATGTCCAAACGGGAAATTTTCTTTGTTTCATTCAAATTTCACTTTTTTGGGTTCTACGTCTCAAATTTTTTGAGATTTTTATGTTTCTTCTTCTTTCATTGGCAAGAATGAAGGTATTTTATTGTTATTAGATAACCAATTAAACTGGTTTGTTTTTAACGACCTATGCCATTTCTGAAATAACGCGTATCATGATATCACTACTAATTATAGATCTATTCTATTTTTTTTCTATTTTTCCTTTTTATTTTGTTTTTAAATCTTCAATGTAAATATGAGTAATAATGAATCACAATGAATATAAAGTATAAAAAAGAGGAATGAAGGAAACTTTACAATTAACCCCAATAGAAAATTCGTTCCCATGGTTACGATACTTACGCAAGAAAACATGTAAATATTGATGATATTGAATGTATGAATGTTTGATCTTTGTTTACGAGTTATAAAGTCCTGTGAGTAAACCATTCCAAATTTGATCTTATTTTATTTTTTAGGATTCTAGTTATAATATTATTAATATCATTATTATTATTATTATCATCATTATATTATTAATATCAATTAGATAATGATAATAATATTTAATATTAATTAATAAGATTAATTATACTAATAATATTATTAAATAAATATATTAATATTAATTAATAATATTAATTTTGAACAGTTCTGATATCAAGACTCATGATTTTTAATGACAGCTATGTATTCATTGCTTATCCGAAATAAGTTCTTTAAAATATAGAAAGTTATCGATTATGAAACCAATAAAAAAAAACCGAACAATCCAAAGAATCCATAATTATGATGATTGAAAATTATCATCATTGTCTTGTTCTTTCTTTAGAAATTATGAATACCTTTCGCATTATTGATTATCGATATTAGCATAAAACTCTTGGTCCGAGACCTCCTGACAGTAATCACGTGTAAATGAAGAAAAAGTGCGTGAGAAAGATAAAATAATGAAACTTATTTAGATAATAAGTCTTGTTTTGAAATTTGTTGGGGTAATGATAATAAGTCTTTTTTTAGGATGTTTAAGATATTTGACGATTTGAATAATTCTTTTTATGGGTTAATTCACTTTCGTGTTCGTAAAATAATTTGATTATAAATTCATTAGAATTTTTGGTATCGTTTTAAAAAAAGTTTCATATATTTTTCCTTTTTTTTTTTTTTTTTTTTTGCTTAGAGTATAAACTTTCTTTCAATTGATTCTTGTTACTCGTTTTGCATTATAGTTTTTTTCAACGTGGTCGAATATCTTTTTTTACGCCTTTTTACATGCAATTTTCATTGGAACATCATGTTCTGTGCTCTTGTTTTTGCTCCGTTTTTCTAAATCATTATAAAATAAATTTTTTACATCTACCTCCTGAATAATAATAGATTACAACAATATACAAAACACATGTCGTAAGCAAGCGGGTAAAGCATTCAAGATCTTTCTTACATGACATTAATTACATCATATAGTCAAAAATGATCCAAGTTCAGGAAGTATTAGGTTTCACGCATTTGGCAGATCTTAGTCTTAGGGTGTTTCATAGTATCTTTTTTTTTTTTTCTCGTATTCAAAATTCAAACGCGAATGAAGAAGATTTAAAGATAATAGTATTGTTATTAATTTATTCTTTTTTCATCCAAATTTTTTTTTTGTTTTTTTTCAAATAAGTTTCAAGAACAGTCTAACTTGCTTATTTCGATATTTCTATTGTAACTTTGTATTTTCAATACAATGTTTCAAGTTATGCGAGATATTTTAAATTATGAATAGCAATGCTTTTTAGTGAATTTAATAAATAAAATGTTAAAGAAAATTATACTAGAATGCTCCAAGAAACATGACAACGAAATAAGATAAAAATATATTTTAATTAGAAAAACAATATAAATAAGAAATAAATTGTCTAGAAACAATATGTTCTCTATATATCTTTTATTTTATTTATTTTTTATTGTTTTTACTTCATGCAGAAATTCTCTTTAATCGGAAGAGATACACATTCGGAACAAGTTACCTTTTATGGTTTATCTGTTTTTTTCTAAAAGTTACACACGCATAATTTTTCGTTTGGAGATCGGTAATTAAAAATTAACTTCCTAAAACTCTTTAACACGTGTATTTCGTGTAATAGCGAAAATTTTCATTCGAAAAAAAAAAAAAAAAAAAACAGTATATGCACATTTAAAATATAAAAAAAAAATTTTTGTTCCATATGATTGTTCATAAATAAAGATGCGTGTCATATTTTAATATGGTAAAAATGCTAGAAAAAAATTAAGATTCAATTTCTGTGACTAAATAATCTTCTGGTCCTTTAGCATTACATTTAGTATAAATACAGTCTTGATGATGAATCTTTCTCGACTTTTGTTTTAATATTGACCTAGTTCCAACCATTAAATGTTCCCTAAATTTCTTCCATAATGAACCTTTCAATCCATGGTTTGCCAACTTTCGTGCTAATTGAATCCAACTTGGTACAGTCAAATCTTTCATGTTGTAATCATCCCATGTCGTATATTCTACTTGAAATTCGGGTGTTTTATTTGGATATTTATTGGCTTCTGTGAGATTAATGAAATATTGAGTATAACCTAATGGTGTAAGGAATGTATTTGTATGAGAAGGTGAATGAGGATTGGGTTTTCGTTTTCGAGATCCTTTTTTGCCTTTTTTCAAAAGTTCTTCTTCATTATCATCATCATCATAATAATCTTCTTCGTCTTCATCATCATCTTCACCTTCATCATCTTCAACTTCACCATCTTCACTATCTTCATCTTCATTTTTCTTCTTCAAAACTTCCGTTGTGTTATATTTAATAATCCTTAATGCTGGATAAAATACTGGGATTATGGATGGATTAATATGAACTACAGCAAAATCATTAGGCGAACCAGATGGAACCTTTTGATAATGACTTAGCAATTTATCCAAATATTTATCAATTGTATTTCCTTTATTTTTTTTATCAAGATTAGATGACATTATCTGTTGTGCATTTGTTTGTTGCGTATTTGTTTGTTGTGCATATGTTTGGTCACATAAATTACAATCCTCTCTATTTTCAGCCAAGATAACTTCTTCATCACTTCTGTTGTCATTTTTGCCAATGAAAAAGAAATGATCCATATTTGAATGTCCGTAGTAATGACCTAGTATAATGTCATTATATTTAAGTGCTAATTTTCCATATTTTTTGTAACAAGATCGTGTATATTGTTTTCTTCTAGGAGCAACATGACCTGTTAAGTAAACCTTCATATTATTTTTTCTCGCTTTCTTTAATATTCTATTTAACCATTTTATTTCATCAGTTCCAGGTTGTCCTGGATATTTGCACCCATTTACTGCAGTATTAGCATTATAAAAATAAAGTGTATTTAAAGATATAACTAATAATTTTTTAGGTATCACTTCTGTATAATAATATCCACCGCGAAGGAATGATTCTCGTTGATTGTTAGGAATGAAAGGATCCCAAATATCATGAAGAATTTTTAACATATCATTCGGTCCAGGAGGAAGGATGTTATTAGGATGAATGTCATTATTGCCTATAGAAGGAACTATTGGTATAAAACGTGGTCCACGTCTTTTATGAGGCTTTTTAGTATTAGCGAAAGTTTTAAGGAATTTTTCAGTTATCATTTGATTAAGTTCAAAAATTTCTTGTGGACTTCGTGGAATGTTATCATCGTTATCATGCCTATAAATTAATAAACAATGTAATAATCATTTAGAATAAAAAAAAAAAAATGAAAGATATAAAAATAGATTTAATAAAAATTTACCTAGAATTATCTCCAGTCCATATTACAAAATCTAATTTATCTTTCCAATTATTTTCTAACCATTCGAATGTCGCATTTATAAGACTCATAGGAGAGTCACAAATAGTCGCAGTAGCCCCCCAACTTCCAGCAATACCTTTCAACATATGTTTAGGTTTCGATTGTCGCGAAGAATGTCCATGGCATCTTGATTTTGCTGTTGTATTTGTCATATAATGAGGATCAGGATGAAAGTCTGTAATATGTAAAAAGTTTCCATGAAGATTGTTATTTCGCTCAACGTTTTTTAAATCGGAATTACTAAAATCTGATATAAATATATAAAGAAAAGTGGTTATTGGTACAGATATAAGAAATAATTTTGCTATACTCAACATTATAAAAGATTTAACAATGATTATAAAAAGTGAAGTGAAAAGAAAACGAGAAAAAGATTACAAATGTAAATAATTGAAGGGCAGTTCTCCGACTTTTTAAAGGAATTAAAAGATCTACTTGTTTATGATTAATTTATTTCGACATACATTGCATCATTGCACAGATTAATATAAATAAAGGATAGGATATACATTTATAGATGATTATTAACTTGTTTGAAGCCGGGAAATGGCGTTTATATCACTTTCGGAATAAATAAGTCATCAAAGTGTAATTCTCCTAGTATCGAATACATTAGTCGCGTGTTTTCCATTATCGGCATGTACAACTAATCTAATAATTTGGTTGGTTAATTTAATTTTTAATTATCTAAGGGGTATAATCCTACCAATCCTTTTAATCTATGACGCGAGAATTATAAATTACAAATTACACATAATTGTTATATTTATCTGGTTGATCATGTGAAAAAAAAATCCGTTTTAATTTCCAGTTTAGGCTTAATCCCTTTTTTAGATTAAACCATAATGGGGTTGGTCACCATTAACTGCGGAAGTTATCATGTGAACATGCATCGATTGGCAAAAATGACGGTACACAAACGTTGCTCTTAATAGATGTTCTTTGTTAGTAAAATAAGCAAGAAGAAAATCAAAATAACATTATAAACAAGAAATAAAATGAGTTTTCGCAGGGTAGGGGGTGGGGTTGATGAGTTGACAGTTATAAACAAAAGTCTCGAAAATTGTAATCATACACCATGTAATCGCATCTAGTCACACATTTTGTGAGACCAGTAAAGCTATATAAAAAATCTCTAAATAATCAAAATTTTATAATCACCAAATATGTTGGTCCCGATGTTATTAAAAAAAAAGAGAGGCTGTACATGTAAAATTTTGAGCTGAATATTTTTACTTAGAGGCCAAAATGTAGTTGATTTAATAAAATATTGAGTTTTTTAAATTCCTTTCGAAAAAAAAAAAATTATGATTGGCCAAAATGACATCCCTGATCGAAAATCTAGGTGCTTTCCCATATGGTATAATATTAATTATCAAGTAAGAATTGAATTTCAAAAGCATGGTTTTTTCAGAAGCAATCTTTAATTTTGCGAATTTCATTTTTTTTTTTAATTTCATTTTTGAATTACATAAAATTACATTTAATATTTAAAGAATTAAAATGATGTCAAGAAGGTAAATTAGTTATTGGATAATAAAATGCATAGAAAAAAAAATACTTGATTTTCGCCCGTTTGATTTTTCTTGGGTTTAGTTCCGTTTATAGAAAAAGATCATTTATTTATTCTAAATTTGCTTGTCCATATTTAAGAGTTCTTTTAGGGTTTAATCACCAGGTCAATATTCTCAATGAACTCAACGAGATATAAATATTGTGCTAAAATTAGATTTCAATAATATAACAATTGTAACTAAAATTTTTATTTAATTTTAATTGTCCTTTTTACCCTTTGATGTTTCCTTCTTTTCAAAACTGTTATTGATAGAAATTTTGGATTTATTATATCTGTATGGATTTTTTTGTCTTTTTGAATTCGGGATATCAAAATCATAAGAAATTCTGTAATACCAAGGTTTCGGTACAATATTCCAAATTAACTAGGTATTACAGAATGTTTATAAATATAATTCCTTAATAATGTATTGCCAATCAAATCTATTGTCATATGAATTGCATGGTATTACGGATAACTATTTCGAGAAATTCCCTAATAAAATTTTTTTATTATCGCTATTTACAAAAGAAGGAAAAACAAAAAACAAATAACTTGATGAGAAAAGGAAATGCAATTATAAAATGAATTTTGATTATAAAAGGGTTTATTTATGATTACCAATCCAGTAAAAATTAAGTTTGGAGAAATTCGGTTTATAAAAACCCATGAAAAATAAGTTTTTACATAAATTTTGAGAAAATAATAATTTCGCATTAAAAATAATTATTATTATTATTAAAATTAAAATAATTTATGAAAGTTGCTCATAATGTCATCAGTATCCTATTCTTACTCTATTGATGTTTCCGAAAGTTATGGTAAATATTTTTATGATAAAAATGTAGTAACATTAATATATAAAATATAAAATATATTAAAGATATTAAAATCATAAAAAATTTGTAAATTAGCTTACTCAGAAGCAAGAATCAATAATAATCCTGGCGTAACTCTTTCTTGGAAAGACCTTTGTTATACCATAACCGATCCAAAAACAAATAAGAGTAAAAATATCGTTGAAAATGTTAGCGGATATGTGATGCCCGGTGAAGTTATGGCTAGTAAGTTATTATACACTAAATAAACGTGATTATTGATTACTAATTTGATTTTGATTGCTGGAATCAATGGTTAAAATTAAAATTAAAATTAATTAAATACTTAAAGTCATGGGTCCTTCTGGAGCGGGAAAGTCAAGTTTCTTGGATTTGTTAGCGGGACGCAAAGACCCAAAATTCGTTTCAGGCGAAACATATCTTAATGGCCAGCCGGGTCAAATTAAATACGTTTCCACTTATGTTATGCAAGATGATGCTTTAATGGGTATTTTTAATTAATGATTATTTTTAATTAATGATTTATTTTTTTGAAGAATTTTAATATCATTTAATACTATAAATAATTTTTTAGGTGTTTTGACTATACGAGAAAATATTCGATTTGTAGGTTCTCATTTTTTGCATTCAATTTTTTTTTATATCTTTATTGAAAGTATTTTAACTTTATTTATTTATTTATTTATTTTTACATGAACTTAGGCTGCGGATTTATGGTAAGATATCAACCCGGCGCGACAAAAAACAAACCCTTTTTATTTAAATATTAATATATTATTCGTTACTAATTTATTATTCTCTTTATCAATAATAATTAGTTTCCCATCTCATTTCACCAAATCTGATAGAGAAAGTTACGTCCAGAATATTATTGAAGAATTTGGTCTCGAACGTGTGGCTGACTCGAAAATTGGCACAGTCTTTGTTCGTGGAGTATCCGGTGGTGAAAAACGTAGATGTGCCATTGCCTCCCAGGTGATTACCCTACCAAACATAATCTTCCTTGATGAGCCTACTACTGGTTTGGATTCTGCCGCTGCATATAATGTAATGAATGCTATCAAGAATATGGCACAAAGACATAAACTAACAGTAATTGCTAGTATACATCAACCATCAACTGAAACCTATTCATTATTTGATAAATTGCTTATACTTGGAAGTGGAAAAACACTTTACTTTGGTGAACGTGAAAGTGCTTTAACATATTTTGATGAATTAGGATACGCATGTCCATCTTATGCAAATCCTGCGGATCATTTTCTGAATTTAGTAAATTCGGATTTCATGAAAGATCGTTTAGAAGCTGAAGATCATATTCAAAATTTTACTCAATTATATAAAGGTTCAACATACAAAGTAGAGACTGATTCTCAAATTACAAACCTCCTCGAAGGTACTAAAAATGAAGAAGATAAAATAACATCCAAAAATCAATCTGGCTATCCCCGTAATTTCTTTTCGCAAACCTATATAATTATGAAACGTTCGACACTTAATGCTTCAAGAAATATTTTAGTGTTCTGGATACGTGTAGCAATGTATGTTACTTTAGCACTTTTAATGGGATCCACATGGTGGAAAGTCGGTCTTGAACAAAAGAATATTCAAGATAGATTTTCAGCACATTTCTTTTCCGTGGCATTTCTTGTATTCATGAGCGTTGCCGGAATTCCAGGATTTCTTGAAGAACGCCTTGTATTTCAACGTGAACGCGCCAATAGATTTTATTCAGTTGGACCATATGTTTTAGCAAATACTATAGTAGCGATTCCATTCGTATTAATAATAGCCATCTCATTCTCAATAGTAGCTTATCCAATGATTGCTTTACATCCAGGATTTGGACATGCAGTAACATTTGTGTTGTTGTTATTCTTAGCATTATTTGTAGCTGAATCAATGGTTGTATTTGTTTCATCAATTATACCAATATTTGTAGCAGCTTTAACAATTGTAGCATTCGCCAATGGATTCTTTATGGTGGTCCAAGGATTTTTCGTTAGACGTGATAGTATAACGAAAATATGGAAATGGGCACATTATATTGATTATCAAAAATATGCGTTTGAAGGAATAATTAAAAACGATTTTATAGGGTTAACCTTTCGTTGTGCTAATGAAAATGGAACATGTAATTGTATTTATGGTAATCCTACTTCACCAACTTGTACATTTACGGGTAAAGATGTATTAGATTCATATGGATATACTGAAATTGTTATTTGGAAATGGGCGGTAAGTAATAAATACATTTTTTTTTAAAAAAATTCGTATAACCAATATAATTAATGTAATCAATAATAATTGTTTAACAGCTCGCTCTAGTTGGATTGATTATTTTCTTCAGAATGGGATTCTATATTGTCTTACGTTCGCGAAGAGGTTATCAATGATTCAAAAATAAACGAAATATTTAAAATATTTTATGATTTATTTTAATAATTCCTAAATTTATTTATTAATTTATATTGAATTGGTTCTTTTCTTCGGAATGGGATTCTATATTGTCTTACGTGCGCGAAGAGGTTATCGATGATTCAAAAAGAAACGAAATATTTTATAATTCATTTTAAATAACTAATTAAATTAATTTATTCATTTATATTGGATTGATTTCTTTTCTTCGGAATGAAATTCTATATTTTCTTGCGTACACGAAGAGAGATTCTATATTTTCTTGCGTACACGAAGAGAGATTATCATTTATATTCTGTTACACGCTAAAACGTGTAATCTTTGTGTAATTTCCGTATTAGTTTAAATATAAATAAAATAAACTTCTAATTTTCAAATATTGATAATAAACTTAAATGTTTTTCTCTCGATGTTAATATTTGTAGAATTCCTCCTTACTGGTCCTGTGATAACGTACATAAAATTTGTTTCATGCATCATAACATTTCCATTTTCGAAACAATTTTACCTTTCTAAATTCTGTCGAGTGCATTATTTTTCTAATTATTCTTTGTTTTATCTAAATTAAAATTGGTTTCATGATAAATTTTGGAATGGAAGACAATGCTTTCTAAAAAAGTTCTTCATTAGGGGAAATTTTTTGTTAGCAAAAAATCATACCTTTTTATCGTATTATTATTTATAAAAACGTTATAATTCATAATTCAATATTTTATATTTATATTTATATGTACTATGAATATGAGTTTGGCATCAAAATTAAAGCCTACTACTGGACCAATATTTCCTTGGTCACAAATAAAACTTGAAAAATTAAATCCTTTTCCCCGTTATGGACATTCATCTAATGAATGGACAAATAATAATCAAATATTTTTCTTTGGAGGAATTGTAGGAGGGAAAGCTCAAAATGACATTTTCATGTTGGAAACAAGTAAATTATATAAATATAATTTTTATATTTATAATTATTTAATTTTGTAATATTTAACGATTTGATAAATTTTAATTTCTTTAATTCCGAAAATTCCGAATGTAAAAAAAAAAAAAAAAAAGATACACTGAATGTACACCAAATTACAACAGCAGGTGAAATACCACTCGCAAGAAGTAATCATTCACAAGTTAATATTGAAAATAATATGATAAGTAAGTAAATCCGAATTTTTTATTATCGTTTAATTTAATAATTTCATATTAATTTTTAATTTTAATTACAATTTAGTATTCGGAGGGATATTAGAAAATAATAAAGAATCGGATGATTATATTTACATTCTAAATACAGGTAATTGATAATTAATTATAATTTTTTTTTTTTTTTACTTCTTTTACTTTATTAATTGATCTCTTTCAGTTACTAAACATTGGTCAAAGATTTTAATCCCAATAACAACATCTGCTGGACGATATGGTCATTCTGCTAATATGATTGGAAATGTAATGTATATATTTGGTGGACAGAATGAACGAGGAATTTATTTTAATGATTTAATTACATTTGATCTAAAAGAGCGTAAGATTTTTATTTTTTAACAAAATTTTGATTTTCAAAAAAAGGAAATAATCTGTTAATATTTCTTTAAATTTAAAAATTTATTCTTTAAAGCAAAGACAAATGATTTAGGTTGGAAATTTGTTGTACCTATAAATGAACCTCCAAGTGTAAGGGCTGGTCATTCAGTATGTTCTTATCAAGATAATCTTTATGTGTATGTAATTCTTATTATTGATTTACAAGATTTACAATATTCATAATATTCATAATTTTTTTATTATTAATTCAAATTCTCAAGCTTTGGAGGAACCGATGGTATAAAATGTTATAATGACTTATGGTGTTATGACACAAAAAATAATTTTTGGACAGAAATTATATGTGAATGTGCTACTCCAATTCCACGAGAAAGTCACCGTGCCTCTTTGATTGATGATGTATTTTATATATTCGGTGGGAGAACCATTGAAGGAAAGGAATTGTCTGATCTGGCAGCTTTCAAATTAAATTGTTAGCATATTTTTGTTTCTCATTTCAATTTTTTTTTCTTTATTTATAGAGAAGACAAGAATTTATTAATTTATTTTGAAATTTTTAATAGCCAAACAATGGTTTATGTTTCAAAAGATGGGTCCATCACCGAGTCCTCGATACTGGCATACAATGACATCTTTAGATAAATTGATTTTAATTTTTGGTGGTGAATCATCAATGCAAACGACGAAACCAGATGAAGAAGGAACGATACATGTTTTAGATACTAGTCAGTATTAACAGTAGTATTTATAGTAGTTTAACACTATAAAAAAAATTTAATTGATTCAAACTCTAATTGTTATTTTTCTCCTTTTTTTTTAGCAAAAATAAAGTATCCCGCAGGAACGTTCCCAGGAACAATGTTTCAACAAAAAAGATCTCATCATTCAAGATCTCTTTCTGAACCTCCGTTATTATCATCTTCTACACCACGCACAATATCTTCTCCAAAACAATTATCATCTCCTAAATTAAATGATAAAAATTATCAAAATCCATTTTTCTCTCCACCACAATCTTCAACCACACCTTTACATGTTTATATATCCAAAGGAAATACGGTTGAAAATTTACAACAACCTTCTTCATCTTTATCTGTAAATAAATCTCAAAATCTTTTATATAGATCTAAAACTTTTAGTGATTACCCTTTACATAAATATTCTGATTTAATACAATCAAATTCTAATTTAAAATCAAATAATAATTCGATTTCAAAAAGTCCAAATGTAATTCCTCCAAAACGAATATTAAGAGTTAGACCTGGTGGACCTAAAAGAATATTGAAAAATCCAATATTGGAAGTGAATACTATGATACCTTTTATTGATAAAGGAAAAAGTGTTGATAGAAATATAATAGATATCAATTCAAAAGAGAAAGAATCTAAAGAATCTAATAAAGAATCTATTCCTGAAACTACTATTAATCAACTAAGTAATCAAAGTATTCAAAATATTATTAATATCGAAAACCGTAATCTTGAAAATGAAAACAACAGAAAAAGACAAAGTCATAATCTTTTAATTGAGAATGATAATAATAATAATAATAAAAGACAAAGTGTTAATCTTTTAAATAGTAATTTAAATGATAATGACAACAACTTGAAAAATAATCAAAAATCAATATATAGTCATAGAAAAGATGATGAAAACAATAATCGAAGACAAATCAATCAACTTCGTAGGAAAAGTCGGATCATAGATCAAAAATTAATACATGCTTCAAACGACAAATTAATAAATACAGAAATTCTTCAAGAAAATTTTGATGGAATAAATGATGCTATTCGAGATAATATCATAATTGGGACATTAATTAACCAAGACGACATTATATCAGAGACATCATCAATTAATCGAGACGACGATATTATAGAAGAGACATTATCAATTAATCAAGACGAAATTATGACAGAGAACTCATCAATTAATCAAGACGACGATATTATAACAGAGACGTCAGCGGCGGCTTTCAAAAGAGCATCTCTAAAAACAAAATTTCCTCAGTTGACCATAAATACTCTCAATAATTTTAATCAAAATTCAAGAATTTTTAGTAATAATTTTATCACTAATCCAATGGATGTATATTCATCATCAAATTCCGATTATATTGAAAATTATAAAGGTACAGTGAATACTTTATCAAATTTGGAGAGAGAAAATTTTTTAGAAAGATTACAAGATCAAGATTTATTAATAGCTGAAATGAAAAAAAGAGAAATTTGGTTTAAGGCTAAACTGGTTTTAGCTAAAAGAGCGGGATATCTTTTGGAATTTGAAAGTGATGATGGTGCTGACATACCTGAAGGAATAGATTTAGAAAATTTAATGGACATTGGAAAAACTGGTTCTGAAAAATTTAAGGTTATTGAAGCAATTGTTCAATTGAGTCAACAATTGCAACAAGCAAAGGTAAAATTTTGTTGGCAAAAATTTTTTTAAAAAAAAATAGACAATAAATATATATGTGTATATATATATATATATAAATAAGAATAACATTAATTTATTTTTTTACTATTAGGAAACCATAGCAAATCAATCTAAAATAGCATCTCAAAAGATTTCAGATTTTGAAAGAATGTACAATGAAGCTTTAAAAGAAGCCGTAGATTTCAAAACGAAATTTTCAGCATTAATAAATAAATTAGAATCTAAAAATTTAATAAATGACGTCCAAGATATTAAAATCCAATTAAACAAAAAACAAAAATTAATTGAAAAATCCAAAAAAGTTGTGGAAAATGCCGAGGTTAACGTTGGAATGATGAAACATGTCATGTCTGAAAAAAGAAATCGTAAATCATCTTTAGCAACTCGATTTAAAGAAATTGCAAAACGTTGTGATGAATTAGAAGCTTTACACGAAGCTGCACAAATTGAACTTAAAAATTCAATATCAAGATATAGAGAAACTATACAGAAAGCAAAAGAAATTCAAGAGAATGAAGAGTTATCAGAAGGCGAAGAGTTCTCAGATGTTGGGAGTAGCGTCAGTGGTTATAAATCAGCATCAATTACAAGTTCTATAGAATTAGAACAAGAACTTAGAATGGTCGAAACAAATACAACAAAAACTCAATTACAACTTCAACAACTTAAATTGAAATTAAATCAAGTTGAATCTGATTATCAAGCAGCTGTTAAATATGCTCAAAGTACAGAAAATATGTTACAAAAAATGAAAGAAGAATTAACACAAGGTAAAAATGATATTGACAATTTAACTCAGAAATTAATTACGGTAGAAACACATAATATCGAATTAGAAGATAAATTATATCAATTACAAAAAACACTTGATACTCATGATAATACCAGAAATTCTATATTACAAGAATACGCAAGTGAACAATTATTTGAACAACAATCAATATTTTTAAAAGAGAGAGGACAATTACAACAAAAGATAGATGATTTACAAATGAAAATTAATATTGTACAAGATGAGAAAAATCTAATGGGACAAGGATATGAAGCGATAAGAAGAGTTTATGAATCTTTGAGAAATCAAAATGAAACACTTAAAAAATCCAATAAAGTGTTAAAACAAAAAACATTGTTAACAGAGAAAATGGAAGAAGAACTAGAGGAAGAATTAGTAAGAACATTATTAATAAACAAACATCAATCTCCAATGGAACCACAACAAATTACTCGAAGGGAACAAAAAAAACAAAATGAACGGCAACATGATATAGGTGAATTTTTAGAAATACAAAAGTGGGAAGAAGAAAGAAAAATTATAGAAGAACAAATTAATCATTATCAATATAGGAATAAGAGATTAGTTAAGAACAACGGAGAACTGGAACAAAAAGTTATAGAAAATGAATGCAAGGTATCTATTTTGTTAGATCAAATGGAAAATGTAATGGATACATATCGAATAATAGAAGACAAAATCAAAGATTTACAACAAGAGAATTCTAACAATTTATTAAAGTTTGTTAGTGATAAAAATAATTATCTTCTAGAAAACTTCGAGATCAATAGATCAAAATCTATAACACCAAATGTGGATGATGATGATGAATCAGCGTTATCGGATCCTGTATATGAAGGCGAAATTGAAGATAAGATAAATAAGGCATATCCAGATTTAACTAATTTTGTTATTCCCGAATATCCGAATTCACCATTGTCTTCAACAACCGAAAATTCGGAATATATAACATTCGGAAGATTAGAAGAACCTGATAATTTAGAATTGGATAAAATAGAAGAAGAAAATTCCGATGATTTATATGAAGAGAATGAAGAAGAATTTTCTAATGTAAATAATGAAAAAGAGGAGGAAGAACTTGAGATATAAAAAGAATTTCCTTCTCCTTCAAATTCACCATCAATTACCAGTATTTATGATGCATAAAGTTATTATAATAAATCTGTATCAACAAACATTTATCATTTATCATTTGACTCGAAAAATTAATAAAATTAATTGATCGTGTTAAAAATTCAAATGAAAGAAATAGTAGAAATAGTTCATTAAAAAATATAACTTTATTATTTTTTTGAATTCGTTTTCAAATATTTCTTACAAAAAAAAAAAAAACTCATAATGACTAATGGCTCGTGTTTTCAGCTTTATTTTTTCGAATTATGTGTAAAGTTTTTTTAGTAATTGTATTGTAATATGGTAATGTGGATGATGTAATTATTTGTTTATTAATAGAATAGATTAGAATAGAAAAATATTAAAAATTCGATCTTTGATGAGATCATCGATGCGCATAAAACATAGAACTTAGAACAATTATATTGATGTTAAATTTATTTCGGCGTCAATTTTTTAATTAAAAAGGTTAGAAATGCGTGTTTCTACGGAATTGAATTGTTAAGTTTTTTTTTTAGTAATGACATAATTATGATATAAAAAAAGGAGGTTTATTTTTCCCACAAAAAGAAATAAAAAATTCATAATTTCCTTTATTACTGCTTTTAGATATTATAAATATTTCCCGAAACCAATATGAGTGATAAAGTTAATGAAATAAAAGAAAATGTCAAATCTGCAATGCCATCGGCTCCGGCTCAAGTTCAACAACCACCCGATGTATCTCTTCCCGAGAAAATTGCTTCTCCTATGTCCACTATAAGCGCTCATTATGATCCATATCCTCATTATTTTATGTCTGCTGCTTGTAAGTCAATATTCAAAATCATTATTTCTAATCATATATATATATATATATGTATATATATAAAGGTGTTCTGAATAAAAGTTTTTATTTATAATTAAAATTTTGCTTGAAGCATTTGTTGGAGCGGGATATGCTTATCAATCTATGAAACAACCAAAAACTGCTGCTATAGCTGCTATTATTGGAGCTGCTTATGGTGCCGCAGGGTAAGCACGAAAAGCACGATTTATTTATTTTTATTTATTTATTTTAATTTTTTATTATTTATTATCTGAGATAATTAATATATATAAATTAAATATTATTATAAATTAGTTTTATGATTCATTCTGATAAGTATTCAAAGTGGGGATACGGCGTTGCTTCTCGTAAGTTTTTTTAATGATTTATTAGTTGATCATTTATTTTGAACAAAGATAATAGCCACACAATTATCGTATCATAATCACCATATTTAGTGGCGTCTGTCGCTCTTATTGCAACGTCTGGTCCTGCAGCGTGGGCAGCCAAAGATCCTTATCACTCTTATCACGTTGCTTTAGCAAGTTTGGGAAGTGTTAGTACCGCAGCAAATATAATGAATGTTTATAAATTAGAAACGGGAAAACCAAGAGAAATGGAAGTTAAAGCGGAAGTTAAAAAATAGTTTTGAGAAAAAACAGTGGTCGCTTTTTCGTTTTTAATAATTAATAATTTTTTTAAAGTAATTAAAAATAGTTAATAATATTTTTTCACATGTATTAGAAAAATAAAAATAATAATAATAATTGTGCTTAATAAATTGATTATAATTACATAAGAAAATGTACGTGATTAAAACTATGCGAGTACAAACCTATATAATCACATCAACACTTCTCAAAAACTCATATTTTGCCCGCAAATTCCATTCTTTCCCATTTTTTTAACTTGATAAGCAAATCATCTGAATTTCGTTATTCTTTAAAAAAACGTAAGACCTGCCTGGGTATACTATAATGATATTATCAAAATCCTTTTTTTTTTTGATTTATTACTCTTCGAGACTTATAATAATTGATAACCGTCGTTTTTTATTAACGAATGTCCTTATACTTCTTTCTGCTCATTATTTTTTTCACTGACCAATCCAGTCAACAAAACCGTAAAAGCGTAGAATTCGTCTATCTTTATATATATATATATCACTGTATAATAACAAATTAATAAATAAAGTATCCGTTTATTTTATATTTTTGTTTATTATATATTAAATTCTGTCCAGGTAAGAATTCTATATATTGTCTTTCGTGTAAAGAGTAGAGGTAATAACTAGCTCATTTTTTCATATGTCTTTGAGGAGGTGGATGGTGATGACGTATCAGTCAAACAGTGTACGATTCCCAATGAGGTAAATTTATTTTTTCCATATTACACACATCAATTGCACTGACAAAACAAGAAATTAACGGAGAGATATTTCAGAAGAAGAAGCAATATCTGGAATGGAGGATCTTTTTATGTATGAATTCAATGTGTTAAAAGAAATTGAACTGCAAAGTATCCTATTCTTAGATAACAACAAGAAACCTCTTCGACTGGGTGCTGACCTCAAATCCCTCTCCAAAGGTCACTAATTATCCATTATCCTCTTTCCAAAGCAAAACAGTAAATAAAGTTTTGATTTTCTTGGCTTGTTTTTTCACTTAATAAATACTTATTGGTTTTTGTCAAATGTAGTTGTGGTGAACTTCAATTATTCACATAGTTCAGGTAAATATAAAATAAAACATATTACTTGCTTCTTAAATTCATTGCAAGAAGAGGTCATTAAAAGATTCAATTAGTTACAAACAGAAAAATTCTATTTTTTTAATAAAGATGAGATATGGTACGAGTACCAATTTAATAACTTAGTATTCCAAATGGAAAAGGTGAAAATAAAAATTGTATACTCAAGCTAAAAATCAAATTTGAGGGCAAAAATCTTATAGTGATTGGGATCTCAAGGAAACATTTAGAGAAATATTATGAAAGGAGTACAATTCACTTGAAATATGCCAATTCTTGACTTGAATGAACTTTCCTCACTAGATTGCATGTTTCTTGATGACAAACTAAAAAATTTTGTTTGGAACTTCAAAAAGCAGTTGATATTTATGGCAAAGCAGTCAGCTCCAATAAAATGACATGCCATACATATATTAATGCCTTCATAACAACTGCAGGCCGACATATTAAAGTAAACACAGCTAAGGTAATACGATTAATCAATGAAGTAGGGCTGGATGGAAGTCATGGATATGGACCTACAGATTACATGGTAAAAATTGTTGATTTGTGAAGCACAATTGATAGTGCAAGTGTATAGTAGTATTTCGAATTGTTACAACTGGAAAGCTGTGGCAATTTTTTCATTGGATTGGGTCACCTGAAGTTCGAAGTTCAAGTGACTGAATAATTTACTTTCAGATTTAATAAAGATATAAACCAAAAAGGAATTATTAATTTATATTGCTCAAATATTACAATATCAAGTTAAGACGTTGGAAAGCCATCTTTCAAAATGTTAAGCTACTGTTTAAGAAAATGAATGAGTCCATCAATTATTTTTCTTTAGTATTATGGTAGTTAAGAATTGGTTAATTATTTGTTGATATCAAATCAAATTTTTTAATAATTTTGATAGTAACCCTTATTCTAAGCTTCAGGCGGTAGGTTGCAGGCACGTCTCATAGGAGTTATCCTGAGTCTCATCTTTTCAACAATTATTAGGATAAGTTATGTATTTTGTATTATTTTATGTAATATATGAGACTTTCTCTTTTCTTAATTAATAAATTTGAGGCAAGGCCTCACTGGAACAAAAAAAAACTCTTATTCTAAGCTACAAGTCTGTATAAGATAGTTGATACTTATAATCAATAAATATTGAAATCAAAAAACATTACGATCGATAATTTAATTTAATATTTTTGGATGATTTCATTTATAACAAACTTTCTGCGCAAAATACTTTTGGCAGGTGAGTGTATAATAAGGCACGAAATTTTTGGATTTTTACCTTCAAAGATCAACTACTAATTTTTAACGAGTTTTCATTAAAAAAAAAAAAAAAAGGTAAAACATTATATAAAATTTAAAAAAATTCTAAAACTTTAAAATAAAAAAAAATAAAAAAAATAAAATAAAAATACATAATATTTGATATATCTCTTGAAATACTGTTAGTCTCCACCGAACATTTTACAATTGAGGTTCATGAATATGTATTAGACCGTAAAATGCATTTTAATATATCAATAACTAAGTTTATCTCCAGGTTATCATTCCAGTGTTGTGGTTAATCATTATCATTCTGTGTTTTGTAAACAAAATTTCAAATCACCAAAAATTCCAATAGATATATATAATAAGGAAAGAAACATCGTTTACTAATATTTATTTTAGTAAAGAGAAAAGTTTGTATTAAACAAAATATTTATCAATTTTATAATTAGAATATCAAATATTTAACAGACAGGATATCACTTTTATTACTTTCATCTCGGAACATTTTTGATTATTCTTTAAAAAAAAATTATTATCTTTTCCAAATTCGAATATCATATCTTTTAGTTTTAAAATTTGGAGTAAGATATTGCACCACATCCATATCTTGACCAGAAATATATTCAAACCGATACATCTTCAATAAAGTAGATGTTAATAAGCGAATAACCATCAATGCAAAACTAATTAAAGAATAAGAGTAAAAAACAAAAGGTTAATTAAAAAAATAAATAGTGAAATAAAGTTAAATGGTAAAAATAAATATTTCAAAAATTCTTTACTTATTTCCAATACAATTACGAGTACCTAAAAAATATATATGAAATTGAATGAATTTATAATTTAAATATAAAAATAAAATAAAAATAAAATAAAAGATAATCAAAAACAAAATATGTAAGAGATAATTAGTAGTACAAACCAGCAGAGAAAGGAATAAAACAATCCTTGGGAATTTTATCAGGATTTAACCAACGTTCTGGAATAAATTCGTTAACATCATCTCCCCAATATTTGGCAGAATGATGTAATTGATATATATTTGCACATAAAATTGTCTAAATACAGAAAAGAAATAAATGAATTAATATTTAAAATAAAATAAACTAAGATTGAATAAAAATTAATGGATAATTTACCCTTTTCGGAATAAAGTATCCACCAAGAACCAAATCTTTAGTTGTAACTTTCCCTGGGCCTATAATAATATAACAATATAATTGATTTGAGCCTTTTTTTTAACAATTATAACAATAATACCAATTTTGTTATTTTACCTACCGACATCTTTTTTCATCAATTAATAAATAATTAAATAAAATTAATAAATAAATTAATAAATAAATTAACAAATAAATTGATATAAATAATTAATATAAATAATATATTGATGAATACCGTGAGTAACTGGATGAAGTCTTAAAACCTCATTTATCACACAGTTCAAATATGTCAACGGTTTCAATTTTTTATGTGATAATTCATCATCTTTTAATGCTTCATCTAATTCACTAACAAGTTTTCTCTCAATCGTTGGATTTTCCATTAACATTGCAAATAACATAGTGATTGTGAAGCTGCTTGTATCACTTCCGGCAAATCTATAAATAAATAAAAAAAGAAAAAAAAGTGAAATAAATGAAATAGAAATATGTGAAATATAAAAAATATAAATGAAATATAGATATAAGTGAAAAAATATTTACAAAAATTCTATAATTTGGTTGTAAATTTCATTATCCGTCATGCCTTCTTCACCTTGTTGAGTATCTAACATAATTTGTAACAAATCTTCCCTTCGAGAATTTTGGCGACGATTTTTCAATAAATCTCTAGCAAACTATAATGAATTATTATTATAAAATGTAAAGAACTAATTGTGAAAAATAAAATTGTAAATTATATTTACATTTTCAATATACGGATCAGCTGGCTTGAAAGGTTTTAATATAGGAAACGATGAAACCTATTAAAAAAAAAAAGAGGGATGATAAATATTCTATAAAATTTTCTCAATAAATTTTTATATGTTTTGATGGAAGGACATACCAAACTTCGTCTGCGCCTTTCTTCGAAAATTTTCCTTATTAAAGGAAGATCCCCGTTTTCGATCATCTTGAAGGAACCTCCAAAAGCGGTTTCCCCAACAATGTCCTATTTTAATCAAACCATATATATTAATTTCTTTAATAAATTTCAATTAATTTCTTTAATTAATTGATCATTACCATAGTACATTCATGAATCAACTTTGCAAGATTGATCACTGTACCATTTGAATCATTTGAATCCACATCTAATGTTACATTAATCTTTTTTATCAGACTTTTGATAACTGATTGAATTAATGGCTCAAGGGAATCCAAATATTTGGTAGAAAATGCTGAAGAAAGCAACTTGCGCTATAAATAATCAAATAATTGATTAAATAAATAAATAAATAAATAAATAATTAATTAATTAATGATAATCATCAGTTCTCAATACTCACACGTTGTTTATGCCATTTAATATCCCTTCATGAGAGAAAATTTAAATTAATCAATCAAATCAATTAAATTAAGGATAATTAATTAATTTAATTTAAAAACTTACGTGGCTGTTAGCAAAGTAACTGAACTTAATCTCATTGATTCGTATTTTTTATTTTTAGGAAATTCCTAATGATAACATTATTTTCGTTAATAATAATAATAATTATAATAATAATAATAATTATTATTATTATTATTCTCAGAAAGCAAAGAAGATTGCAAGAAAAAAAAATAATTACTTACATTTGTTACTAAAATCTATAAAAGATAATTTTATTTGGTATACATAATGTATAGTAATTTATCTGTGAATTTTATACGATAGATAATTATATAATTTTATTTTACCTGCTTTATAATATCTTTATCAGCAATCAAAATTGCATTTGGTGCTTTTTTTTTTTTTAAAAGATATTAATTAAATGTGTATTAATAAGTGAAAATAAGCAAGCAAAATTTTTTTATTAATTTTTTACCAATGCGAACAATTGGTCCATATTTTGGGAATATTTCATATTGAATCCATTTCCATCTATTAAGAATTATTGGTTTTGAAGTCAGTCAGTTTAATTAGAGAGAAAAAAAAAAGATAAATTTATTTATTTATTTTTATTCATTAATTTCGCACACACACCTCATTCCATTTCTTTGTTTCCATGAAGTGAACTCCCTTAATAAAAAGTGAAGTTTTGGTCCAGGAATTTTACTAAGAGGACCAATATATGCGAAGTGAACTATCTATATAATAATAATAGTAAATTAAAAATTCAAGAAGTCAAAACAATGTAAATTATTAAATATCAAATATTATAAATTAAATAAATTAAATAAATAAATTAAATAAAATAAATTAAATAAATAAATTAAATAAATTAATAATTAAATTATAAATACATTGTAAACATATTTGAGTGTATAATAAAATCCAAGAATGCTAATAAACAGAAGAATATTTTGCAAATCAAAAATTTTCAACATAATTTTTTCGTTTATCAATTTTAATTAGCCTAAGCCAGTATCAATTTATTTTCACTTGCTAATTATCAATTTATTCTTTCTAAATCATATACGTCATATCATTGTTAAAAAAAATATATTAAATATTCTAAAAAAGGGAACAATCATTGATTTATTTTCTTTTCAGTAAAAATTGATAAAATAAAATTAATGTCTAGGGATGTCAAATATTGATAATAAAGAAATAAACAATGGTTTTCCGTCGCCAAGTAAAGAATTACAGGATGTTCCTTTTTCAAGGCAAGAATAAAATAAACAATTTGAATTTTATCATTAATTTAATTTAATTATTTAATTTAATTTAATTTAATTATTTAATTTATAATAATTTAATTTATCATTAATTTAATTTAATTTAATTTAATTTGTAGGATTTCGAAAACAATCATAAAAACACCAGATCCAACGGAAATAGGCATGCAATTTTTATGATAATTTATTTGGTTCATTCTTTATTTTTATCTCTATCTGTCTCCCTATATATTCGTCTCTATCTTTCAGTCAAACCTGTATATAAGCATACTACTAATATAAAGATATTTATTAAAATCTATTAATATATTAAGATATTAATAGCATATTAATTAGATAAATATATTTCAATAATTTTAAAAAATATCTTTATATCAGCAATATCTTATTATTTATTGTATTGTATTATTAGATGAAATATTATCTATACCTACAAGATTTCAATCCAACATACCAGAAGACTTTGGAGATACAATGTCAACTTCAAGTTTCGAATTAGATCATTCATTCACTTATAGAAATAGTAATAAATCAATAAATACATTAAAGAGGGGTAATACTGGTAAACTTAATGAAAAATATGCCATGATGCAGGTGAAAATCATAATATTTACCCTTATTTACTTTATTTGCCTTATTTGAATGTATTTATATTTATTTATTTTTAAATATTTGTTTATTTACCTTTTCAAAACTCAAACGAAAACATTTTATTTACTTACTCTTTCTTTCAATTAGCAAAAAATGTCTCAAATGGTTCAAGATATCAAATCGCCCGTGTTATTTATCCCAAAGAAACCAACAAGATATTCTGCTCCTATCAAAGATAATAATAAAGAAGATAATGATAATGAAAGCGCGAATCCTTTTCTCATTCCTTCTCCACATTATATTCGTGAAGAAAACAAAAACATATCTAAATGGTCTTTGAGTAATAAAAGACGAGAATTAGATTTGGATGATGAATCAAAAAAGAGTTATTCATTTCTTCGAAATGAAAGAAATGAGGTAACTTTAAAACTTTATTCTTTAATTTAGTTTTAATTTATTAATTAATCTAAAAATAATTAATCCAATAAATTAATTTAATTTATTATAATTTTAAATAAAGAGTAATTTTTCAATAATAACACCAAATAATTATATTCAGTCAATAACACCCAATAACTATATTCAGTCAACAATAATCCTAACACCACCAAATAATAATAATAATAATAATAATAATGATAATAATAATAATTATTATTATTATCATTATAGTAAATTTGAACCAAAATGTACACCAAATTCACCACCTCCTTATTCTCTACCATTAATATTGAGAAAACATGCGAAAAGGTTTACAAATATCTGGCCACCACGTGATGATTTGTCGTTATCAGAGGCAGAAGAATATGAAGAGAAAATGAATGAATTATTTGGATCAGAACCAACCACGCCATCTCCAATTGTTATTAAAAATCATTCATCACTGGAAACAATACTTGATAATGTTAGTGACGACGACGAAGAAGAAGATTTAAGTTCGATAGAAAACTTTGAAGTATTATTATTATTATTATTATTATTATTATTATCATTATCATTATTATCATTATTATTATTATTATCGTTATTACATTCATCATTAATTATATATATTTTATCTCAATCAGGAACAAATATCACCGACAAGATCAGTAACTAATATTTATACACGTCAATTAACTCAGAAAAATCTTAGTTTCGACGATGCTGCAAATCCTCCTCTTGTTACTACTGATTTCTTACTTAACGAATTCTTTGAAGATAACGATATCTTTAATGAAGATTAATAAAGATTAATGAAGAATAATAAATATTTTCAAATATTTCTAGATATTTTTAGATAGATATTTTAGATTTTTAGAAATTGAATAAATTGAAATAAAATTGATTGATATCTGATCTGATAATATTTTAATGCATCGTGTATTACAGATAACTGTAATGCATAAAAATTAAAGTAAAAATAATGATGTAATTGTTCATGTGACATTAATATATATATATATATATAAGTAATTTAAAATTCGACGTTTTATTATATATTTAGTTTTTCACTTTGATCAATTATAAAAAATTAATAAATTTAATTTTAAAGTATAATTTATTATATCGAACTAGTTATGGCTTCCAATAAAATTAAGATTGGACAATATAATGTACTTCAAACACTTGGGGTTGGCTCATTTGGAAAAGTCAAATGTCTGGATTTACAATTCTTTTAATTCTTGTCAAGTTTTTTTTTTTTTTAGTCGCGTGTATAATAAAAATAATGTGAAATAACTTTTTTTCATTTTTATTATTAATCAAAATTTTGTTTATTTTTTTAAAACCTTTTTTTTAGTGGCCGTACACTCCGTGACAGGTCATAAAGTGGCAATGAAATTTATCAATCGGAAAAGAATTTCAAATATGGATATGGTTGGAAGAGTAAAACGAGAAATACATTATTTAAAACTTCTTCGACATCCACATATAATAAAATTGTAATTAATTTATTCAAAATTATTTAATAGTTATTTCAAAAAAAAAAAAAAAAAAAAAAAAAAAAAAACTAAAAATTAAAAATTTATAGATATGAAGTGATCACAACTCCAACTGATATTATTATGGTTATGGAATATGCGGGAGGTGAATTATTCAATTTCATCGTAGAGAAGGGAAGGGTAAATTATTTTTATATATTTTTTTGAATTTTAATAAATTATTTTTTATTATTTAATATAATATATAATTCTATTTTTTTCTTGTCTTTTATAAAGATGCATGAAGATGATGCGCGACAATTTTTCCAACAAATAATTTGTGCAGTAGAATATTGTCATCGTCATAAAATTGCACACAGAGATTTGAAACCAGAAAATCTTCTTCTAGACCCATATCATAATGTTAAAATTGCCGATTTTGGATTATCTAATATTATGACAGATGGTGAATTCTTAAAGACAAGTTGCGGAAGTCCAAATTATGCGGCACCAGAAGTTATATCGGGAAGGCAAGTAAATAATATTTTAATATATTATTATTAACAATATTATTATATGATATAAATGTATATTAATATATAATAATTTGAAATAGATTATATGCAGGACCTGAAGTAGATGTATGGAGTTGTGGAGCTATTTTATATGTTATGCTTTGTGGACGTTTACCTTTTGATGACGAATATATACCGACTTTATTTAAGAAAATTAACGGTATTTTTAATTTTTAATTTTTAATTTTTAATTTTTAATTTTTTATTTTTAATTTTTAATTTTTAATTTTTATTTTTATAATAATTTTATATCTTTACGTAATTTTATATTATTTTATATAAATATTTTATAATTTAATATCTTTATAATAATATATATTTACATAATAATATTATTATATATTGTTATGATATTATAAATGATAGGAGGAATTTACTCTCTTCCTTCATTTCTGTCACCCGAAGCAAAATATTTATTATCTTCCATGTTGGTTGTTGATCCTATGAAAAGGATTACAATTTCAGAAATAAGGTAAAACGAAAAAAAATTATTGAAAAATAAAATAAAGTTCATTAAAAATTGACCGATCCATTAAATAAATCAAATAGAAAAATACCATGGTTTAACATTGGATTACCAGATTATTTAAAACCACTTCCAGAGAGAGATGAAGATCCTTTCACTGAAATTGATGATAAGATTATTGATGAACTTTTTAAGGTTTGCTTTTTTTTTAAAAAAAAAATATTTTTAAACATTTTAAACATTTATATTTTAAACATTTTAAGCTATTTTAAATATTTTAAATATTTTAGATAATTTAATATTATATTATATTTATTATTATTTATTGTTTAAAGAAAATGGGATTTAGTAAAACTACAATGTATCAAGCATTACAGGAAAAAGAGAATAATCAAATTAAAGTTGCATATCAACTTGTTCTAGATCATAAAAGAATGAAATCAGCTGGTATTTATATAATAATAATTAATAAAAATTATTTGAAATTATTTATATTAATTAATTATTAAACCATCAATTTTATTTATTTTATTTTATTTATTTTTATAAATTTATAATAAATAAATTAGGACGAATATATGAACAAAATAATATTCAAAACTTTCATACACAATCACCTCCATTATGGGATACTTTACAGGTAAAAATATAAATTAAATATAAAATTAAAATATAATTAAATATAAAAATTTATTTCTAATATGGATATAGCGTTCTAAAGGAAAAATGAGATTAACAGAGGAAACAAGAATAAATGATGAACCTTGTAGCATAACTTTACTTAGTTCTAGTTTACCACCTAATGAAGATCTTTTCCGAGGTAACTTTCAATAATTTTATCCAATAATTTTTTTATCCAATAATTTTTCATCCAATAGTTTTAACAATAAAATTTAAAATTCAGGAAATGAAGATCATTTAAAATTTCCCTTAACAACCAAACGACATAAATCAAGATCCAAATGGCATTTTGGAATTCGATCACGTAGTCCTCCATTAGAAGTAATGTTAGAAATATATCGAGCACTTAAAAATATTGGAATGGTAAATTATTATTTGTTTTTTATTTTCAATAATAATAATAATAATAATAATAATGATAATAATAATGATAATAATAATGACAATAATAATGATAATAATAATAATAATAATAATAATAATTAATAATAATATTTAATAATAATAATATTTGATAATAATAATATTTAATAATAATAATATTTAATAATAATAAATGAATAGGAATGGAAAACTATTGATCCTTTCCATGTTCGATGTAGATATATTTATGACTCGGGGTTACAAGTATGCAAATTTATTTAAATTTAATATTTATAATTAGTCGTTATTTCATTTTTATTTATTTATTCATTCATTCATTTATTTATTTATTTATTCATTCATTTATTTATTTAATTTATTTATTTATTTATTTGTTTATTTATTCATAATTTAATAAAAGGTTAAGATTGACTTACAATTATATAGGTTAAATATAAACAATTATCTTGTTGATTTTAAAAATGTTGGATATGAACTTCCATCAACAGTCTCAGAATCAACTTCATCATTAGTTTCAGCAACATCTCCAAAAATAACAACCACCACCACCGCTTCAACATCGACATCTTCAACAACAACAACATCGTCATCATCAACAACAACACAAACACAATCTGAATCTTCTTCAATTTCATCTCATCATCATCATCACCATAATTATCATCATCACGATGAAAATATATTTCCTTCGAATTTTGAAAATAAAGAATCTACATCCTCATTAATTCTTCCTACAAAACCATTCAATTTATTACAACGACAAATAGATAATGAAAGTGGTAAAGAAGTAACTTCCATGTATCCATTTTTTGATATTTGTACAAAATTAATAACAGAATTGGCAATATCTGCATAGATAAATTAAACTTTGATAAAATTGAGAAGTTGGGAATTTTATAAACATTTTGTAAATATTTAATTTTTTATTTTCTATTCATTTATGTTTTTATATTGAGATATTATATTGAGAGATATTATCATTATTATCATTTATTTATTTTATTTATTTTATTTATTTATTTATTTTTATTTATTTATCTATTATTATTATTATTATTATTATTATTATTACATGTATTATTATTATATCATTATTATTACACGAATTATTGTTATTATAATTTTGCATTTTCAATTTGGAGAAAAGATTAATAATATTATGTATAGATTAACAATATATAATGTATCATTTTATATATTTTTACATATTTTTATATATATTTATTTATAATATATTTATATATTTTTACATATTTTATATATTTTTTTAGTACCGAAAAATTAGAAAATAAAGATTTAATATATACTTGGCGTTTCATATTTTTATTTCCATATCAGGAAAATTTCTTGGTTTTAAGGCTTGAATTTTTTTAACTCCGATACGATATTTTTAGAACTGATTAATGACAATAATAACAATTCACAAAATGTATTCTAAATATAGAAATCATAAACTTATAAATAATAAATAATAATATAATACGCAAATTTGATTGGATAATTTAAAATAAAATTTAATTATTTAAAAGCAATTAATAGTAATAAACTGATCCAAATAATGGCTTCACTTCTTTCAGATGTTCTTCACCAAATATTTGAAAATTATCAAAATGATTTTAAATCACTTCATTCATGTCTTTTGGTTGATAGATTATGGTGTAAAACTGTAATCCCAATATTATGGAGAAATCCTTGGAAAGTTTATAATAATAATAAAAACAACAACAACAATAATAATAAGAATAACAATAATTCATTGATCTTATTTAATTTAATAATTTCTTTCTTATCAAAAGAATCCAAAGAATTTCTTATTAATAGAGGTGTGATATTAAATTCTTCTATAACTCCTCCACTATTTGATTATATTGAATTTTGTAAAGTATTAGATTTTAATATAATTGGTAATATAATTAATGAAGGATATGAAGGATTTATAATTAATGAAGGATTTACTATTAATGAAGAAGGATTTATAGTTAATGAAGGAATTATTACAACAACAACAAATGTTAATGAAGGATTTCCATTTCCAGTTAATGAAGTTAATGAAGATGGTTTTACAATTAATGAAGAAGGATATGAAGAAATTAAAAAAGTTAATCAAAGAATTGATGAATATTATCAATTATATCTTATTCGTCAAGAAATTTGTAAATTATTTGTTAATCGTTGTTCTAAAATTAAACATCTTAGTATTACAACAATTATGCCTCATCCTTTACCTTATTTACCTGGTTCAAATTTACTTTTCTCTCATCTCACTCAATTATCTTGTAATCCTTTTAATGATGAATCAATTTATTTTGGAATTGCTCAAATTTGTTTTAATATTAAAAATTTAATTATAATTAATTTTGATAAAGATAATATTGGTTTGGCTAAATTAATTGAAGTACAAAATAATTTAGAATCTTTAGAATGTCAATCAAATATATTTCATCATAATTTATTGAATTTTAGTTTCATTGGAAATTCTTTAATTACTCAAAAAAATTCATTAAAACATTTGAATGTAATTAATAATATTTGTATCCCTCCAAAAATTATTTATTCATTAATTAATTTAGAATCATTAAAATATGGAATTGAAGATTCAAATGTAGATGAAAGAATAACTGATGAATATTCATATCCTTTATTCTCTGCAAAATTTCCTAAATTACAACATTTGACAATAAATTCTTGTCCATCATTTCGTACCGCATCTAATTTAATTTCTCAAACTAATGGTCAATTACGTAAAATTTATATTGGATATTCAAATTATGATTTTGATTATGCCGGTACATTAATTAATTCTATAGCTAATAATTGTCCTTTATTAGAATCTTTATCAATTTGTTATTTTAAAAATTATCGAGAATTAAGAAAATTATTAAATTCTTGTAAATATTTACAATACATTAGTATTAGAATATTGGCATTTTCTGAAGATATTGAACTTTTATTTAATTTAATTAGTTCAATTTATTTAAAAGATTTATATATTATTAAATTAGATGGTAAATTAATATTTTCCGATATTATATTGGAGAATTTTCTAGAAAAATGGAGAGATAGAAAACCATTGATATTTTATACTATTAAAGCCGAATTTATTAATGAAAAGCATGAAAATATATTTAATCGATTTAAAGAAGAAGGTGTATTAAAGAAATATGTGAATGAAGTTGATTGGTTATTGGATGACTGAATTTGTTATTATTATTATTATTATTATTATTATTTATTATATCACTCACTATACTACTCTACTACTACTACTACTACTACTACTACTACTATTATTATTATTATTATTATTATTATTATTATTATTATAATTATTATTGTTATTATTAAATTATTATAATTATTATTTTTTATTATTATTATCGTTATTGTCTGTTATTATTACTCTCTTATCACCCTCTTATCATTGTTGAATAATAAAGATTTTAAAGATTATAATTATTAATAATAATAGTATCATTATTTTACATAAATTTCTAGTAAGTGACTAATATAATATAGACTTAGATGATGTCATAACACGTGATTACATAAATTATATTTCTAAATTTCTAAATTTATATGATATCGTTATTTAATATCTAAATTTATTATCAATTCTTTATATCGCAAACCAGTTTTTGGTACATGAACCATATGTTACGTCTGGTAATTTTTTTTTTTTTTAAAAAAAAAATTAATTAGTATAAAAATATAAAATATAAATAAATATAAATAAAAAATAAACAAATATAAATTAAATAAGTATAAATTAAATATAAATAAATATAAATTAAATATAAATTAAATATATAATAAATATAAAATAAATATATAAAGTACGTTTCTACACATCGTAGATTTGCACATCGTACATATCAAGAAAATAAAGAAAATATAACTTACCAAAATTTTCGGTAGGATCACAAAAACATTTACCACTTTCATGAAACTTCTTCTCTATAGGACAATGTTGAAAGGGGGAATGTTTATATCCAATGTCGTTAAAGAAATGTATTTGTGATTTTTCTAGGAATAATGCTAATGCTATAGAATGCACTGGTGCATCTCCCCATCTAAAATATTTTATTATAATAATAATAATTATTATTATTAATATCGATAATTTATAATTTTAATAATTATAATAATATTAAATATTAAATATTAATAATCGTAATTATTACCTTTCATAAAAGAATCCACCAGCTTGATCTAAATAATTAAAGAATTTTAAATATCTTTCACTTCTCCAAAAATTTAAATTTCCAATTTCAAAATTACTCCAAAAATGACATCCATTATACGTTGCTCCTGATGAAGAAATAAATTTAGATACACTATGTTTGTTAATATATTGAGGATATTTTTTAGAGAATTCCATTACAGTCTCCCATAAAGTTGGAATAGTTTCAGGTAATTCCAAAAGAGAAATAGTAAATCCATAAGTTATATTATTATTTTTAATAAATCGAAATGGATCGTAATCAATATCACAAAGAAATTCTACTCCTGGTTCCAATCTCCAATAAAAATCATATTTTTCTATTAATTCATGGCGAAAGAAAAATCCGGAATTAAAGCGACACATATGACGATATGATTCACTACCACCATAAATTACATTCTTGGATTCCATATCTTTACGGGATTCCGCAGCTTTTGTTTGATTTATCCAATGTGGATAACTCCACATACGTTTTGGTATTTTTCCTATAATAATAATGAGTTAATAGATATATGAAATTAATTAATAGATTATTTATTGATTAATAATTAATAATAATTGATATTTAATTAATAATTTACAATATAATAAAGTATTAATAAACTTTTAAATTATAAAAATTACCATAAAATGTTTCGGAATCCGTAATAATTGAAACTAATTTTTTAAATTCAGCAGTGAAATCTTCGTCATTTAAAAATACGTAAGGATAATGATACTTTTTATTCCAACGATCTTCAAAATGCACCATGGTTTCTCGGAGAGCATGTAATTCTGCATTCCTAACTAATACAATTATAACTCCATTAACTCTAGTATTATTATTACGATAATTTAATGTGGGATCTTTTAAGGGGTCTATATATTGAGTTTCAAAAAATAATTGTCGCTCCGATTGAAATATTGAAATATCAATTAATGATATAAAGTAAGAAAACATTATTATGATTATTATGAAGGAAAAAAATAAATAACGGGAATAATGCATTCGAGTCATTGGATGTTTTCTTATTAATTTACCCATCGTAAATTTTGTTTCCAGTAATAATAACTTTTACTAAATTAATTTTTCGAAATTCAAGAGAAATAAATAAATTAAACAAAATGTCTTTAAATAATCGCAACTAAATAAGTATCATTATTATGAACGTGTTAAAATGTGGTTTCGAACGTGAGATGCTGTAAACAGGGATTTGAATGGTGATATACAAAATAATCTCTTCTTGGTGGTTATTATTATTGAACTGGTTATTATTGAGGTAGTTTTTATATAAATATATATTATGTTATTATTCTGATATTATTGAATTATTGATATTGATATAATAATAATAATAATAATAATGTATTAAAAAAATTAAAACTGTACTAGATGAATAAAAAAAAATCATCAACTAAAGAAAAAATTTATTAGTCCCTTTTTTTTTTCGGGGTTATTTCTGATTCTGACACTCTGCCACACATTATGTACAACCTTTACTTGATTTGGATTAAAGAAGTTAAAGGGAAAAAAGAAAGCACAATGGTAATTCTCAAATAATTTCTTTAATAAAATTGAAAAGTTATATTTAATAAATGATTCCGAAAAAAAAAAAAAAAAACTTGCGACATTATATATTACTTTAAATTACTTTAAATTTTTCTAAATATTAATACTAATTTAAAAATTATATTATATATATATTCTGCATACAACAAACCAAATTGAAACTTTAGAAATTCTTCATTTATCAATAAAAAGAAAATTAATTTTATTGCTTCCACTGAGGAAATAAACAAAATTCACTTGATTTTTCCGATGTAATATATTTTGACCAATTTCATGGTGTATTTGATAAGAAGTAAATTATTTCCATTATTAAAATAATTAAATTTTATCTTTTAAAAAAGAATTTCCAAGAATGATATGAAAATGGCATTTTTTAACAGTCATCCGTTGATTGATTATTTGTGTATTCGTTTAACTATAACTAATCAACTTGCATAAACTATATATATAATTGCTTACATAATCACGGCCGATCACGCAGAGCCCGGAGAAAATTCCCCGGGCGCCTATTAATTTGAAGTTTACACTTATCACGTTTAAATATTTTATTTCCACCCAAATTTCCCTTGATATATTCAAAATTACTACAAGTTTACTTGCATAAGCTTCAAATACAGAAGTTATTACAATTTTACCAATAAATCTAGCATGTGTTCAACTTATCATACTTCTAACTGTCTTACTATTAAATTTTGATAATGTAGTTTTTTTATGTATTTCATTTACTAAATTTCTAATGTGTTGTTACATGTGATTTTCTCCATTATTATTTTATCTCTATTTTATTATATATTTATTATTATTTTATTTACTGGAAATAATATAATTATATTATTTCCAGTTAATCTAGATTATTTCTAATTAGATATATGTTGTAATTTATTTTTTAGGCCACACTTGAAGGTGTCATGATTCATTTTTTAGGCCACATTCGAAGGTATTGTGATTCATTTTTTAGGTCACATTCAAAAGTATCATGATTTATTTTTTAGACTACATTCGAATTGTCATATATCAGATTAGTGATGTTATTAGTCAACTTTTTGAACTAATTTTATTTTCCAAAAGGCAATTTACAACTAATAACTTGTAAACAGTTATTTTAGTTTACAAATTAAAGAAGATAATAGAAGAAGAATAAAAGAATTATTAAGTTAAATACTATAACTAATTAAAGGACTTAAGAATTTATGATTATAATATTTAAATTATTAATTAATAGTTAAATTTTCAAAGTTATTTTAAGAATTTAAGACAAAGGTTAAATATGTTTATCAATAATTTATAAAATAGTAACAGAAATTTATAGATCAGAATTTATATTCGAAGAATATAAATTAAAAGAAAAATAACAGAGTTTTTTTAATATAAAATATATAAGTTTATTATAAAAAAAAATCAATAATCTAGTTACTTTAGAATTATAAAATATTAATTTAATAAAATTAATTACAGTTGAAATTACTTTCTAAATTTAACTATTTAGAATTATTTGAATTTAATTTGAAAACTATCTTCATCTCCTTTGGGATGGAGAGAAAACTCACCCTTTTTATAATATTTGATTCAGTCAATAAGTTGTTCAAAATCTTGATTGGTAATTGTGCCAATCTTTGATTACTAAGTTAATCAATCAGTTGGTCACTAAATTGATCAGTAAATTGGTTAGTAACTGGATCACTATAATCTACATTATTGATTTACATAATTCGTATTATACTAATAAATAAATAAATATTAATTATAACTAATAATTAAAATATACTAAATAATTATACTAATAAAATAAATACAAATAAAAATAAAATATAATATAATAAATTATTAAAATAGAAGAAACTCATGGTAACAGTAGTCTAGCTAATTTTGTTGTCAGATCACATAACATATTGTGTATTAATTTGACGATTGCAGTTGATTTTAAAATTAAAGAGAATGTAGTGATAAGTTATACCATAATATTATGATTTTAGATTATTTTTGATAACTCAAGTCATTAGTTGATTACTGTTACTAGTTAACTTTTTGAATTAATTTTATTTTTTAAAAGGTAATTTACAACTAACAACTCGTAAACAATTGCATTAATTTATGAATTGGAGATAATAAAAGAATAAAAGAACAATTCTAAGTTAAATACTAAAACTAATTAAAGAATTTAAAGATTTATAATTACAGGATTTAAATCTAATGATTAACAGTTAAATTTTAAAGATCGATTTAAGAAATTAAAACAAAAGTTAAATATGTTTATCAATAATTTATAAAATAATAATAGGATTTTATGGATTAGAATTTATATTTGAAGAATATAAATTAGTAAAAAATTAACAGAGTTTTAATATAAAGTATATAAGTTTATTATGAAGAAAATCAATAATCCAGTTAATTCAATTATAAAATTAATTACAGTTGAAATTACTTTCTAAATTTTACTATTTAGAATTATTCGAATCTTATTCAAAACTATCTGAATCTCTCTTGGGGTGAAGAGAAGATTTACTCTTTTTATAATATTTAATTTGACCAGTAAGTTAGTTAATAAGGTAATCAAAATATACGTGTTGCCCAAATCTCAAATCATTTGGAATTTGGGATGCCAAAATCCCAAATTACTAATATTTGGGATTTGGGATTTAGGATTTTGACAAAAAATACTAATCATAATTTGGGATTTGGGATTTGGGATTTCGACATTTGGGATTTCGGCATTTGGATTTTGAATTTGGGTAGCAGGTATAAATCAAAATCTTGACTAGTAATTGTATTAATCAGTTGGCTACTAAGTTGATCAATCAGTTAACTACTAAATTGATTAGTAAATTGACTAATAACTAGGCTACTATAATCTATATTATTGATTTACATAATTCATATTACTCTAATAAATAAATAAATACTAATTATACTAATAACTAAAATATACTAAAATATATTAAAATAATTATACTAATAAAATAAAATAAATACAAATAAAAAATAAAATAAAATAATAAGAAATTATTAAAGTAAAAGAAACTCATGATAATATCGTTTATGTATTAAATTATTATTTTTAATCAATTTCTTTTAAATAAAAATAATAAGCTGAATTATGATGTGATAGTATATGTAATAGATCGATTGTATTCTATATGTCATTTGTAAAAATAAAAAAAGTAATAGTTCATCTTGTGATTTATATATTATTGATAGTAATAGGATTTTTAATTATAGGTTTACGAATAGTTATTATATCTTTTAATTTATTTTTAAACTCAAAATCAAATTTTTAATTAAACTTTTTATATAAGTTTTGATTCTTTTTTCAATCTCTTACACTATAATTTTATTAATAACTTAATTCAATTTGATATTATAATCTTGTATTGATGTCATTTTATATATTGCATAAAATATTTAATAGAAAAAATAATATAATCAAATATATATTATCAAGTATATCACGAAAATGTTATCTGGTTATGCTATCTTAAAATATTATATAAATATTATTAAATATATATATAACTTATACCATATAATTGTATTAAGTATATAATTATTCTAATTAAAGATACAAATATATTATCATGTCATAACTTAGGGTTATGACATTTATATATATAACTATAGTTGTAACTCTCAACTAGAAATATTATATGGTCAAATATTATACTTATGGTCATATGTTATAACTATAAACATGTGCTATAACTATAGACACGTGTCATAACTATAAACATGTATCATAACTATATATGTTTACAAAATTGATTTTGAATTTTTGAAGTATTTTAACTTTTTAAATCTATTCTATATATAGAAGTGAAAAAAATATTCAGTTATATATATATTCAATCAAAGAATAAATCTGAATAGTTAAAAAATTATGGGTTTTAAGTAAAATAATTTTATCTTTTATGAAAAACTATTTTAACTTTTTTTTTCTGAAATTGTAATTTCAAAACTCTAAAATAATTTTGCATGCAAGTATAATCATAACTATAAGCATATGTCATAATTATATTATATGTCATAACTATAAAAAATAAATTAAAAAATAAATTTTATTTTTCTATAAATTTAAATCAAATATTTTTATTTTAATTATTAAATATTATTTTTTTCTTCAATAAAAGTATTAACTAATATTTCAGAATCATAATTAAAATTAGAAGTATTTATATTATTTTTATTATTTATATTAGATACACTAATATTATCATTAAAAATATTATCATCAAAAATTGATATTAATAAATCTATAATATCCTCTACCCTATAAAAACTATAATATTTAAAATATATTTTATTAAATATTTTTTAAGTATATAAAAAATTATTTAAAATATTATTATTTTATAATTAAAATTAGGGCTTAGAACTAGATATAATTCAAATTCACCTGG